CTTTCCTTCTCTACACGAGTTTTTGTGTTACCAGAGAGTCTACCTTACTTCTGCTAGTATATACAATCCGTACTTCTTAGCGGAAACAATACAGAAATCTGCAGAGATAAGGTCTGTATTTGCTTGTGGGATATCTTCATGACATAAGTAAAAGACACCTGTAGCACAACTTCCCATAATTCACTTCCAATCATAAATGAAAAATTGCAGTGTTCAAAAAAATTACAGGGCATTGTACAAGAGCTAAAAAAAAAGTGTCCGATCTTTTATTTCACTTTCTTGCTCCTATACATGACACAATAATCTAAGTCAGACAAACTCTTTTATTAGAATAGTTTTTCTACTGGATTACCTAATGATCAGATAAAAACCCTCATAAATACTCTCTGGTGTCCACCCTGAAAACACAAGATTTCCCAAGACAGGAATAATTTCTTTCAGAAAAATTGTGTTTTGGCAATTTAAACATTTTATTTAAAACAACACTTATTTTTCAACAGGTATTTTAAGTGTCTTTTATTTCATGTTACTTTTGTTTTGTTCCACCTCATAATGTGTCTTGGACTACCAACACTGACATCATGCAATGATGTACGAAGCAAATAGAATGTGGAAAACAAAATGTATTTCAAAATCAAAATTTTATTTTGGGAAAAAAATAAAACCTGAATCAAAATTTTCAGAGCAGAATTTTCCCTACCCATTCTACCAGACTTTTCCAAATCATTTGCTTTCACCAGGATGTGTGCAGAAAACAAATTTCAAAAGATCAAAATATACTGCATAATGCAAACTATGAGCTACAACTAATGCTTTGAGATTGACTCAGCCAGAAAAGCCAAGTTAACAGACAGCCTGTGCCTGACTGCATCATACATTGTATCGCATTGACTAAAAATGCAGTGATAGGAACCTAAGCAGTGTGGCTACATCACAATATGTAGTAACTCAGAACAATATTTTTATTTCTACAGTGAATAAAGATCATGTTTCATATTTTAAAATAAGCAAACTGCACAAAACTTCACCAACACTTGATGTAACCACGATATAAATCATAGAAGTATATATGAAAGTATATAATATTGGCACATACAGCTGTTGCAATATAAACGCACAAAAGAAAAGGAAATTGTTGTGCTTGTGTTCAAGCAAGTGGGGTTTGAGGTATTTTTGATATACTAAGCATTTACAATGCCTTTCTAAACCACAAAGTTGGTCCGAGAGTATTTAGCAGAGCCTTACTTACTGTAATAAGGGTTGTCCTGGATAGCAATTACAAATAAGCATAATCAGTCATAACAAGCAGGGACTGCTTCTTATGTCCTCGCTTGAGATCAAGTTCTGCAATTACTCCTTTAGACTCTGAAGATTACATGCTTATTCAAACAAAACCAAATCTGATTTAGCTCGCAAAGTTTTAAATCTTAATTATTTTTTCTGGCTAGAGACTGAGCTTCATGTCGGTAAGAAATGTGAGTTTATACCCAATATTTAGGAGTGTTCATTAGTATCTTGATAATTGCAAGTGAAAGAGCAGTTAGAAAGTAATATTGTTAGAATGATATAGTCCACATGTCCTCCTGACATTCTAGATATACAGTTCAGTAATGTTTACAGCAGTCTTCCAAAACAAAGGACTTTGCTTCCAAACGTTGTGCAGTTTAGTTTTCCACATTTGTAACTTCAGCCATTCCTTGCTGTACTGCTTTTCATCAAACTGATAGGCTGTACAATAGCTGGAACTAGCGAGCTGCGTCTCTTTTCTTCACTAACAATGTCCACGTTTCCTCCCCCTTGACTAATTGTTTCTAATATAAGGTTGATTATAAATTCCTTTTGGACAAGACTCACAGTTTGAAATAGTTTTTATAACTTCTTATGAACTTCACCTGCAAGAGTGATTCCAGCCTGCTGGCTACCACAGAGCAATTAACTTTGCTACTGCTGATGGCTGGAAAGCACATATATCCAGTAAATCAAAAACTGGTGACCATAATTTCCATGCTTTAAAATCCATTACCTTGTGCCTTTCACTGGATTGTTGTTGCATGGTTCCCAACGACCAGATCCAACTACGCTTGACTCAATGTAGTACCCAACCAGCTCCTTGGCATCTGGGGGCTCTGTCCAAGTGACAACAACTGAGGTATCTGTATTCCTAGTTGGCATAATACGCCCAGGAGCTTTGGGAATATCTGTGGGAGAGAAAGAGAAATAAATTAGTGATCAGCCAGTCAAAATTTAGAAATAAAATAAGAGTGACATTCTATTCTTGATTATATCAGCACAACTAATACAGATTTAACCTCCCAAAACTCCTCTGTTTTCCATCAAGTAATCTGGCACAGCAGGACAGGATCAGTAGGCTCAAGACTTTGATGATGAGGTTCCTCACAGCTCCATTGCCTATGGTTATGGGCATTTCTTTCAAATTAGATTTAGTTTATTCCCTTGGGCTGAACATCTGCACCAGAGATGTGATTTGGAGCTTTCTAAAAGGGAAAATGTGTTAGGTGCACACTGAAGGATTTTGTGCAGCCCGCAGAATAAGTCAGAAACAAATGTCCCTGTTAAGTAGCAAAATGCATCTAAAGTGTTTTTCAAGAAGAGCTGTTTCACTCTTCTTCTTAAAGAATGTAGTTCATGTGCATCAAACTGCTCTGAGAATTCAACCAATATGAAGTAAATGGAAACAATCTGGGAATTGGATTCAAATTGCCGTTTGGAAACAAATTGCTAATGTAGACTTAGCTACTGATGCTTTACTGTGGTGAACATCTTGGCTTTTCTTCCAGTGGAAATAGTCTCTGCGTTCATGTAAGTATTAAATTCTTCACTTCTGTTTGATTTGGCAAACAAAGAAGGTTAAACTCTGACGATGTCTGGGCTTATTTTCAATAAAGACTCTAAGTAAAACAAAACATTTTTGTACTTCCTTGAGTTTTCATTTTCTTTCACTATTTGCAGCCTTTGCAGTTCTTGGCATCGCTATTTGCAGCTTAATTCCCTTGGTTTACATCTGTCATTTGACTACACATTAAAGGTTCAACAGCCCAAACCAAAATTATTTTAGCTAAAGGGAATAAATCACTGACTACTCTTCATACTTGAATTAGTTACTCAGCAGCTATCTGTCTTCAGACAAAACAATTACATCATAAACTGAGAAGAGGCCATGGAGGTAATTTACTACATACGACCACACACTTACCGAGTTTGTCATCCACCACAGTGGCTTCAGTTGCTTCTGAAGGTTCACCGATTCCAGCTGAATTGCAACAGCGAACTCGGAAGCAGTAGGATTTGCCTTCAGCCAAATCAAAAACTGCAAAGCGAGGAGACTTCACAGGGATCTCGGTGTTCACCCTTTGCCACTCCTCTGTGCCGGCAACACACTGCAGTCAAACCCAGAAACCGCATTTGGAACAAAAGTCTCTGAAAGCTGAGTGTCTAACCTGACAGGACTTTCCACCCGGACCACCAAATGCATGTCTGCTATGGAGAATGGGCAGTCACGTTCCTTTGTTTGGCCTTTCCACAGAATGAGTGTATTTCAACCCTTATGAATCCCAGATGGCCGCCTACTCCAGAAAACATACATAAAAGCTTACTGGTTTTAATGTATCAAAGCTAAACTCCTCTCCACCGCAAGGAAGTGATGTTATTATTAACTGCATCCAGTTCTGGACCACTTTCAAAATAAGTTCTGCAGACATTCAGCATCGTCCAAAGAACAAAACTCTAACATTACCACATTGCTTCTAGGTGCTTTTGTGTCACTCTTAATGTTTTTGGGGTGGCTTCCAGAATAAATCAGGATCTGACCTTCGTTTTCCAGAAAAAAATTAACATGTGCAAGTAATTTGTGAATTGATTTTATTTCTGTGGCTAGAAGCTCTACATACCATGATCACTTATACCATTAATATTAGTGATTAATTTTTGCTTGTGATTTACATTAAGGAAAATTTCAAGCAATGGTTCTGGTTTCCGAGGGATTTCAAATTCTCAGGAGAACGTTATCTGACTATGTGACATTAGTGCTCAGTACTCAGCATGCAATAGGTTGTTAAAAAGCTTTCTTATATGGAAACTCAAAATTCATATATTCATCCTCTCTAGGTCTGTTGCTAAGTGAAACTCATTTATTTAGACTAGATTTCATAAGACAGATGAAAAACACGTAATGGGAAGATATTTATGTCTCCCGTGATGACAACTGTAGACTGACAGGGAAAAGCATTGATAGAAAAGTTTGAGAGCCATGAGATACAAGTAAAAAGGGTGATGGTGTGAAGGATTTTCTAGGTTAGCAGCCATGCAAAAACCATCTCAGAAAAGCAGGACACTGAAATTAAAACTGATTCTGTTCTAGAAAAGAAATTTTGTCATCTTTGTTGAGTTGGTGAAGGAAATGGAAAGTTAATGTAGAGGATAAATATGAAAAGGCAGCTGGAAGAGAAAGTGCTGATGCCAAGAAACTCTTGCAGAATGCCTCCATACAAAATGTTAACAATCTGTCCCACTAGACAAGCTTCATTTATAAAAAAATTATTTTTATATATATGTATGTACGGTAAAAATATATATATATCATATATATATAAACATAATATGTATT